ACACACACACACGCACGCACGCACGCACACGCACACGCACACGCATGCACACTGGCGACCATTGTGTGTGAGCATGCGACGGCGACACAGCGAGCTCAACGGCCTAATCAGTACGGTCTGCGGTCTGTTTGCCGGCGAATGTTTGTGTGGCAAGTTTGTCACATGATCACACGTTGCATTTATGTCACATGATTATCAAATGTGTTCCATCGTGTTTGTTTCATGGCAAAATTATACATGTCTACTCCATGTTACCCAAGTGCAATGTTTGTTACATGTTCTGTTGACGTCACATGACATGACTGCTATCTGGCTGTCCCATGGTTGTCTGTTCCATCCACATCACACGTTTGTCTCCCTCCCAACAACCGGCGTCCAATCACATTGTTTCGTTGTTGTTTTTGTGACACAGACGCCCGAGGTCCGTCCGCCATGGGAGGCAAACTGAGCAAGAAGAAGAAGGGCTACAACGTCAACGATGAAAAGACCAAAGAGCCGGACGCCAAGGCGGGCGAGGGGTCCGTTCCTGACGACAACCAGACAGCCACGGACATCAAAGATGAGACCACCCCCGCCGCCAACGATGCGGCGGCCGCCACGGAGGCTGCACCCGCCGCCGCCAAGGAGTCGGAGAAAGAGGCCAATGCCGAGCCCAAAACAGATGGCGAGCCTGCCAAGGCCCAGGAGACCGCGGCCGCCACTGCCCCCAAGGAGGCTGCCGACCCCGCTGTCAAAAATGAGGCCGATGCCAAAAAGACTGAGGCCCCCAAAGCTGAGGCGGACCCCAAAGCCGGCGAGGCCCCCAAGGAGGCACCCAAGGAGACCCCCAACTCGACGGCAGCCCCCGAAGCTCCGCCCAAAGACCCCACCGAGGCACCAAATAAGGATCAATGCAAAGATCAAAGCGTCACCGCTCAAGATTGATTGGTGGACGCCCACTGGAAAGCCACGCCCACTTTGGACAATAACAACGAGAATCAAGAACGACCACCGACAAACCCGCTGGAGCGACACCCGAACCACCCGATGCAAAATTATAATGATTAATATTGTACTGATGAACTTCACCAGCTGCCCGACCGTCATCTCACGCCGTCACATGATCGTCTTGGCCACGCCCCCTCACACAAAACTTTCTTAAAACAGATCCAAAATAGTCAAAAATTTCCTAAATAGTCAAGAGTAGATTTTGTACTAAAAAAACAAACCAAAAAAAAACATTTGTAACATTTCTATGCTTGTTTGGAACCTGATTTGAAATACTTTATGCTGATCTGAATATAATCCGATTCTAGCCTGCTTCAGGTCTAGTTTTTTGTCTGGTTCTGATTTAGGACCAGATAGGCTCGAAATTGGGACTGATTTGGCACAGGTCTGGGTCTAGTCTAGTTCAGGTCTGCGTCTAGTCTAATTCTAATCTAGTTCTGGTCAGGTTCTTGTGTGGTGCTGATCTTTGACTAGTTTGGAAGTAGTCTGCTTCTGAATTGGTCCTGGTTTGGTACGAATATGGTTTTAATTTAGTCATTCGGGATTACCATCATTTGACTCTAGATTAGTCCTGGACTGTTTGCAAATAATCTGATTCTAAATTAGTTATGATCTCTTAGTCCAGTCCAGTTCTAGTCTTGTACTTGACTGGTACTGGTCTTGGAATAGTTTGATTCTACACTGGTTCTAATTTGTCAGGTCAGGTCCTAGTCTAGTTCTGGTCTTGTTCTAAATTGGTTCTTATCTGGCGCAAGTCTGGTCCTGGTCAGATTAAAGTCTAATTCCAGTCTGGTCCTTGTCTGGTTCTAACCTGGTTCTGGACAAGTTTGACTCTCGTGGTGATCTGATTTTAGTCTGGTTCTTGACTGGTCCTGGTGTGGATTTTGTGGCTCTAAATTGTGACTGATCTGGTACTAGTTCTGGTCAGGCTCTAGTCTGGGACTAGTTTGGAAGAAGTCTGGTTTAATATTGGTCTTGGTCTAGTACTACTGTTGTTTGGTTCTTGTTTAATACTGGTCTACATGGGACTAATCTGGTTCTGAATTAGTTCGGATTTGGTTCTGGTCAACAAAGAAGAGAGCAGACATCAGAACTGGAATTCTTCGAGGTTTTGGATGCCAAATTAAAAAGAGGAGGAAAAAAAAAGCTTGCTTCTATGGCAACCGTCCTGATGCAACTCTTAATCCGTCACACATTCACCTCATACAAGCCCCTCGTGCACACGCATGTGCACGTCGTGTACATGGATGTGCATGTGTGTGCATTGGAACGCTTGAGGGCACCTTGTCCTGCTCCTGAATGAAAAAGTGTCCTCTAACTTTTGACCGCATGTCGACATGTATGTGCGGTTGTGACATACGTGTAATCGCGTGTTCTGGCCTTCCTTTGCATGTGCTGCCGGTCCCGTCTGTTGGATCCGGTGAGGAAACGCTGGCATGCGTTTCCATGGTAACCGTGTGTCTCCATCCCAGCCAGTGGCGCTCGCTCCAGGTCTCCCCCAAAAAAACACACAAAACAAAGAAATTCAAGTTTCAAAGTTGTATGTTTACTTGTTGAAATGGTGCAACAGTCGTAATAAAAAAAAAAAAAAAAACTAAATCGACTTTGTTGTTTGTGGTTTCCGTGACAATGGAGCGAATCGATTCACAGAGGACGCCGCCAGTGTGTTCAATTATGCGACACCTTGTCATTCACCCTGTTTCTGTTAGTGCTGCTGGCATTGTTAGCGTTGATACCATGAGTGCCACGAGCGTTGTTAGCACTGACTGTTACTGACTGTAGTATTGTCAGTGTTGCTAGCACTGTTTGCATCGCTAGAATTGTTAGCATTCATAGCCCTGATACAATTGTTAGCACTGCTAGCGTTGTTACGCTTATATCTTTGCTAGCTCCGCAAATCTTGTAAACAAAGATAGCATTGTTAGCATAGCTAGCATTGTTAGCACCTCTAGTGTTGCTAACGTTATTAGCAGTGATATCGTTGTTAGATTTGCTATATTGGTTAGCACTGATAACATCATTAGCACTACTAGCATTGTCAGTGCTGATAGCATTGTTAGCACTGCCATAATTGTTAGCACTGATAGCATTGTGAGCGCGGCAAGTGTTGTTAGCACTGATGCTATTGTTAGTGATGGCAGAATTGTCAGCACTGTTAGCACTACTAGGATTTTTAGTGCTGAAAGCATTGTTAGCACTGCTAGCAATGTTAGTGTTGCTAGCATTGTTCGTGCTGCTTGCTGTGATAGCATTATGTACGCACCCAAGCCAAGCCACACCATGGGCCGCCAGCTTCATGCATCATGACCATTGGTTGCTAAGGTGACGCCAGTGCCCACTCTCGCCTAGCAACAGGCTAAGATGGGAAAGAAGGAAGGATGAATGGATGGAAGGAAAGTAAGAGGGAATGGGGGGCTTTCATGTCGAGGGGTGGGAGGGAAAATATTGGATGCCATATGTGTGCACATGCACATGCCTTGGACATTATGTAATGTCTCCCTTAACCAGCACATGTCCTGACTTTTCATCTTTACTTCCTTCCGTTCCCCTTCTGACCTGGCTTTCTTACTTCTCTCCCATCTGTCCCTCCAGCCTTTTCTTCATTCACCACTTCTCCTTCCTGTTTCTTTGTTTTTGTCCTTCTGTGTTTTCCTTCCTTCCCCTGTTATTTCCTTCCTTTCTTCTCTCCATCTTTCCCCCTGTGTTTCCTTCCATGTTGCTTAATTTTCTTGCTCGTGCCTTTCCTCCCTCAGTTCTTCTTTCCGTTTTTCCTTGTGGCCTTCCTTCTTTCCTCTTGGCTTGGCTTCAATGAAGGCGCACGTCAGGATCCTTCTTTGACGATTTCCACGGGCCGCATTTGTCCCCGTCAACCAGTTCACAAGCGATCTGCTGTGGCCGGTGGGGCTCCGGGGCTTGTTACCAAGCAACAGTCTGCAAGCGACTGGCGCGGCAATGGCAGCAAGACAACGTTTGACGGCGGACCTGGAAATGTAGGACGCTCGTCTCTAGGGGGAAGTCATCACGCACGCACACACACACACACACACACCGAGGACGCGGTGGTGAAAGTGAGACGTGGATTCGGTCAGCAAATAGAAATCAGCCGATACTCTTCCTGCACTGTGATTGGTTGGAAGTACAGGTGGGTGGTATCATAACCAGCTTCATTCACGACGTTTCTTATTCTTCACATTTTGGTAGCAATGGGCAAATGAAGCTTTTGTGAAGCACAGAAGCGCTTGGACGAATTGCTTGGAAAATGCATTAAGTGCTTAAAGCTTCAGTTAGAGGGACCTCTACTGGCCCAAAGCAAGAAAACATCATTGAAACCTTTTGGTGCGTGCGCCGCACAAACGCACTACAACAGAATGTCACATTCAATACAATCCGTTTTTATACAAACCGTTTTTTTTTTTTTTTTTTTACAAATCCATTGATGTGCGTTGTGTGAGTGACGCCACAGCTGCGGGGAAAGTCTGTGCAACTCTCTACAATTATCTGGGACGGGGAACACTTATTCGTTTTTCGAAGCTCCCTTCTTTTCGCTCACAACTTCTCAGTATTTGGAAAATAATCGCTCACAAGGTACAGATGATGCATTCGGAGCGAAAGGAGTGACGAGAAGCAGTTCAGAGAACGGATGGATGGATAAGGTTCATCTTAGCCCTGTATAAATAAATATTAGTTAAGAAAAAACAACTCAACCTTCCTTTAAGGAATAGAAGCCTAGACCCGAACGCTGCAAGCCAAATGCTGTGCCTACAAAGGTAGCCACAGACAGAGAAGCTAATTGCTACTACATAATATCAACCAGTCTGGTTATTAATTCAAGCCAGGGCTCAAAATAAGCGGTTTCGCATCAGTTTGCTCGACAAAATTAGTATTTTGCGCCTCATCAAAACTTAGTGAATTGCAAAACTGAGAATCAATTGCCAAGATGAATCCAAAAAGCTTCACTGGATTAGATGGGCATGCATTAAAGTGGAGCAACACGCCAGCAGTAACTCGGTGCTACTTATGCTGCACCAGCAAGCTTGTTGCTAGGTTGTAGCAACAAGCTTCGTCTGGCTACTGCTGTGGCTAAACATCTTGTGGAGTCGCTCCTAAGTCAGTAATCATCACCTCCGTGGCGGTGAATTTTCTTAACTCTGTTCTGACAAGTCTCACTCTTACGAAGGCATGATGAGGAAAGACGGAGAAGCCATGCTAGTTGCTAAGCTAACCTAAGAGTGACACGGTTAGGCTGTTTAACGCTGGAATGAAGTGCTTAGGAGGTCGATCATACTTTTCACAGATATGTGGGTAAACCATGTTAAAGTGGAAAATGTCTAATTTGTAACTTTGAACAGCAAAACAGCAAGCAAATGATAAGCTTTATTAAAACCAGTTTACCACTGCTTGTAGATAAGAAAATACAGCTTACTGTTATACACAGAAGGTATTCAAGAAATAAAAACTCTTGATAATATAAAAAAAACAGAAAACCAATTGTTCACTTACCATTCACTACACTGTCATATTTGTATTGTTTAATGAAATCCTTGCTTTTAACATTTGGTGGCTAACTACATACACAGGCTGAGGCCGAAACGACCGAGTGGCGCCACCTGCTGGCCGCTTTTCACATAAGCAGGCAGTGGGAAAAGTGGCGGTTCCCATGGCGACCGCCCCTCTTCATCAGAGACGTGCATGACACCGTCTTACAAACACTCGATGGAACGCTTCATCTCACGCGCAAACAGAAGCCGTCGTATGTCACATTAAACACGCACCGACACGTTCACAAGGCGCCTTGATAACGGTCGTCCTGGCAACCGTCTTCCCTTTAATGTAAGGGCTGTGTTGGGAACCAACCCGAGTTGCTTGGCCGTTTTCTTATCACTAAATTGCGATTTGTAGAGATTGGACCTGGATGGTTCCTGAAACTCCGCGAAAAATCTCTCCTCGCGATTGTCGTTGGGGACCAGTTCAGTGTTTGTCCATTTGTGCGTGGTGGACCTGTGACCATGCAGTCCATTGTGTAAATTGTTTGTGGACGTCACTGGTGTTAAAGTGGCAGCCCTGGGGGCCAGCTGCTACTGGCCACATGATTTGAGGTCGTTCATGGGTGTCGACTTCCATAATTACTGCGAAAAATCCTAAGCAAAATTTCTAATTGTCATGTCGCCCCTGTCATTTTTTTGTCTTCTTCTCAGTTGTGGTGGTCTGGCAGAAAAAAAATGACGCCCCCTGTCCACTCAAGGGTGTAATGTCTGGGACGCGTGTTTCATTCTTGAGTGTCACATGACATCGGCGTGATGAAGCCACAATTAATTAATTACTTTTTTATTTACTATTTATTTGCTTTTATTTACTATCGTCTTACGTAGCATCAGCAGGAAGTTAGTTATGGTCGAATACTGCCCTCTAGTGGTTGCTCGCACACACCGCCCAGACTCTCATGTCGCCATGGAAACGTCAGAATACTGAAAGCCTGAAGTGACGGACTCGAGTCACATTACTGGATTCCAGTCACGTGTTCACAACGTGAGAATATTTGCGCGAACGGGCAAATTTCAAAATTAACCTTCTCTCGTCATTTTTGACCACCAAACCTTTGCCCTGTCCTGTTTTCTTTCCTTTTTTCCTTCCTTTATCCTTTCCATCCAGACTCCTTCCTTCCTTCCTTCCTTTCTCCATATTTCCTTGTAGTCTTCCTTTCTTTCCTTCCATAAAGGTAAGAAACCCAACAGCGTTCTGTACAGAAGACAACAGAATGTACAGTTATAAAAAAATTAAACATTTTAATTGAGCGCTCGCATATAAAAGAAATAGAAAAAAGAAAGTTGAACAGCGGCGAGGGAAGAAGAGGCAAAGTCTGCAGGGGTTAACGGTCACATAAAAAGAGGAAGTGACAAACCACAGGAGCGCTGTCGGGACGCTCCGGAAAAAAAACGACAGTTGGACACACAGCAAGCAGGTCCCGTCCCTCGCATTGTACTGACAACATTCGTGAGGGTCCGGTGGGTCCATTGGGTCCAGTTCTGGGTTCCCCCTCGGGTTGCATAATTACGGGAATTTTCAAACTTGTAAACTTTCCATGGGAATTGATGGGAATAAACCATAAACTAATTCAACAATCACGGCCCCATTCGCTCCTAAGCACAATTTACTGTCGAGTCTTCAATGACGTTAACATGCTAACGTGACTTTGGAATCTACAAGGACATGGCTACTTCGGCAAACATGCTAAATACACGCAGAAGGGCCAAAGGTCGTCTTCGAACCTTCACCTTTCTGGTCATATGCAAAAAATAGGCAGGAGCCTGAATTGGAACCTCCAGCTTTCTTGTTATACCCAAAACAATGTGAAAAAGATTTCACTCGTTTTTTTTTTTTTTTTGTCTTCACGGCAAACATGCTAACTACACACAGGCAGGCCGGAGGCCGGATCCAAACGTGACCACAAACTGTGAGGCAGATATTGTACCCGACTTGTCCACCGCGCTGCCCGAATATGCTACGCTTTCTCTCAATTCCCAGGGAAAGTTTCCAGTTCAGAACATTGCCCATCTTATCCTCCATTGACAAGTTTTTGCGCAGGG